ACTGTATAGTGTTAGAGACTATACTTCAGCCTCATGGTTCGATTACCAAGTAACTTATTTAATTATTGTATATTAAACCATACTGTATAGTGTTAGAGACTATACTTCAGCCTCATGGTTCGATTACCAAGTAACTTATTTAATTATTGTATATTAAACCATACCGTATAGTGTTAGAGACTATACTTCAGCCTCATGGTTCGATTACCAAGTAACTTATTTAATTATTGTATATTAAACCATTGGCTGAAGTATAGTCTCTAACACTATACGGTGTTACTTGGTAATCGAACCATGATTATTTAATTATTGTATATTAGACCATACCGTATAATTAAATAAGTTACTTGGTAATCGAACCATGAGGCTGAAGTATAGTCTCTAACACTATTGTATATTAAACTATGCCATATAGTGTTAGAGACTATACTTCAGCCGGATTGTTCGATTACCAAGTAACATATTTAATTATTGCATTGATTTTACTTTTTTTGTTTCTGAAATAGCTCTGACTTCACGTATGATACAAACTAGTCAAGACAAATTTAGGAAAAGAAGAAATATTCAATGAATAAAAATAAACTTGTGAAATTGTTGATTCTTATATGATCCATTTACTTATTGCATTCATTTTACTTTTTTTTTTCTGAAATAGCTCTGACTTCACGTATGATACAAACTAGTTATGACAAATTTAAAAAATATTGGTAGGAAAAGAAGAAATTTTGATGAACATGGTCATATTTTAAAGACCCTTCGAACTGGCAAAGACAGAAGTGATAGTTTTTACAAACGAAGCAAATCTCTAATTAAAAGCTCTAAAGATCTTCATGAAATTACTGGAGCTCATGTAAGCACAAAGATAATTGCTACTTGGCGTAAAGGAACATCAAAAACGTATCTGTCACCTGGTTTCCCCGAGAACTTGTTTTTTGCATCAGAGTTACTTCAGTCATCAAACTTAACGAGCAGCGTAGAAACATGCTTAACAGTGTCTGGACTAAATGGACATTTTAATAATGACAGTAACAGTTTAACTGGGCTTAGAGTTGGCAAAGATAAGAGTGATACCTTTTATAAACGAAGTAGGTCTTTAATTAAGAGTTCTAAAGAACTTCACGAAATTACTGGAGCTCATGTCAGCACAAAAATAATAGCCGCCTGGCGTAAGGGAAAATCTCGGATGTACACTTCACCAGGGTTCCCTGAGGAAGTAGAAGTTTCTGCTACATTTGAAGTTGGCCCAGATCAACTGACTTCACCAGAAATATATATGCAATTATCTCAGCATAAGGAAGATCATGAAAGTAGCACATCCAGAAATGAAAGGAACATTACAATTAAAATCGATAAAAGATCAGACTACAAGACAAACAACAAACGTACTCTTGAAAGTATAAGTTCTTGTGCCATTTGTAATGTTAGATATACTTTTTTGGCAGATAAAGAGAAATCTCAATGGTTAGAGTGTTCCCATAAGTGTGGGTACTGGGTTCATGCAATATGCAGTGGAATTTACTATCCTGCAGATGAAGATGGGCAGAAGTCTTTGTATAAGTGGTCCAAACATCATTTCTTTTGCCCCAGCCATATTCCTAAGTCATGAATTTTGACAAACACACATGCAAGTACATCCAAGGTGCCATTTTTGTTTCAATTAATTTTGTAAAATATTTGACATTTCTTAAATAATAATTAATCTGCTTTTTAAAAATGATAATAGTGGGATAATGCTACCATTAAGTCTTGATAAGATAAAGCATGTATGTATCATCCACTAATGCATTAAAAGATTTAGCTTATGAATCAGCTTGTGAAAAACTGGTAAACAGGTTAAAAAATACATTTGTTGAAAGCTTCCTTCTGTGTGTATGTTGTTTTTTTTCTTGCAAGTAAAAGAATTCCAGCAAATTTTACTGAGAACATTTCTCTACACTTGATAAAATATATTTGATATATATTTTTAAAATGTTTAATAATGGACATCTAGGGGAAATTGTGACAAAGCATGATTGACAATAAGGTTTAACATTTTAATAAGTTTTTAGTCCTACTATTAAGAAATTAAGCAAGTTTATTTCTGTGATATTTTAACATTTGAAAAGGTTTATCCTTCAATTTTTTTTTTAATTTCAGTACAAACATTGGTGGGAATGTGTACGTGTATGTACTCCAAGTGAAGACAATACATACTGGTTATAGTTATTTTCCATATTCTCCGTTTGCTAATAGCTAGGCAAACACGTTGTTCCTTCTTGTGAAACAAATGCAGTGATATAAGTTCACAATATAACTTAAATGAACTGTATATCTTTAATAATAAAGCTATATACTATACATAAAAAAGTTAAAACAGTTACTTTCATAACTGTCATAGTTTTGATTGATATTTAATATGACAAAATATCTCATATACAAACTGTGTAATTGTACAAGATTTTGACATCTCACTGTATCTAAAATATTGTACAGTAAAATAAGTTTGGGTAATTATATTAAACTGAAGTTAAATAAGTAAGTAAAAAAAATCTGGAATCTGGCCGCAATATATAATATTCGGCTTATTCCAAAATGATTTTGTGATTGTCAAATTACCTTTAAACCCAAATTCATAACATAATGAGGTACCAAAATTATTTAATTAATAAATCTTAGAGAAAATAGAATATTTAATTTATATAAGATTAAGTAATTACACTGAAAAGTATTTAAAAAAATCCTAGTTGAAATTTAAATTAAGAGAAAAAAAATTACAGTGCAATTGTTTCTATAGTCAGGTGCTTAGCTTTTCCAGATTATAAGTTTCTATAGTCAGGTGGTTAGCTTTTCCAGTTTATAAGTTTCTATTTTCAGGTGCTTAGCTTTTCCAGTTTATAAGTTTCTATTTTCGATTGCTTAGCTCTTCCAGTTTATAAGTTTTTATTTTCAGGTGCTTAGCTTTTCCAGTTTATAAGTTTCTATTTTCAAGTGCTTAGCTTTTCCAGTTTATAAGTTTCTATAGTCAGGTGCTTAGCTTTTCCAGTTTATAAGTTTCTATATTCAGGTGCTTAGCTTTTCCAGTTTATAAGTTTCTATATTCAGGTGCTTAGCTTTTCCAGTTTATAAGTTTCTATTTTCAAGTGCTTAGCTTTTCCAGTTTATAAGTTTCTATTTTCAGGTGCTTAGCTTTTCCAGTTTATAAGTTTCTATTTTCAAGTGGTTAGCTTTTCCAGTTTATAAGTTTCTATATTCAGGTGCTTAGCTTTTCTAGTTTATAAGTTTCTATTTTCAGGTGCTTAGCTTTTCCAGTTTATAAGTTTCTATTTTCAGGTGCTTAGCTTTTCCAGTTTATAAGTTTCTATATTCAGGTGCTTAGCTTTTCTAGTTTATAAGTTTCTATATTCAGGTGCTTAGCTTTTCTAGTTTATAAGTTTCTATTTTCAGGTGCTTAGCTTTTCCAGTTTATAAGTTTCTATTTTCAGGTGCTTAGCTTTTCCAGTTTATAAGTTTCCATTTTCAGGTGCTTAGCTTTTCCAGTTTATAAGTTTCTATTTTCAAGTGGTTAGCTTTTCCAGTTTATAAGTTTCTATTTTCAGGTGCTTAGCTTTTCTAGTTTATAAGTTTCTATTTTCAGGTGCTTAGCTTTTCCAGTTTATAAGTTTCTATTTTCAAGTGCTTAGCTTTTCCAGTTTATAAGTTTCTATATTCAGGTGGTTAGCTTTTCCAG